CCTTTCTTACTTCAAAGTCATAGCTGCCAACAGTGACAGAAAATACTGGGCTTACGTCCCTTTGCTCCTGGCCGACGATGTTGATATCATCTCTATATGCCAGCAGCATAGTTATTTTCCTGTATGCTGCGATTCAGATTTTCAACTCGTATTACGCTTTCCAGCATCAGTTTGAAAAACATGTGGTCTCGAACGGTGCGGAGAGGTCATTCCCAATTTGAACGGAGCTAAAGGCTGTGCCACTCAGTATAGCCGTATCAGTTTTGCAGGGATCCCAAATTTAGACAAGGCGTCATGCAAGCAGCTTATCGTCGTGCCATTAAGAGGGCTGTAAGATTTACTAAAAAAAATAGTGTGTGTCGACTTGCAAATCCAGTGCCTTACGCAGAATTTGGTTTGCTGGGCCTTCATGTTTTTAAGCCGCCTTATTACTGTTCTCACCTCGTCCTGATCGAGTCGAGGGACGTGGACGTTGTTCTTATATCGCCGATGATTTGCGAAACCACCCATCGACCAGTTTCAAAACCGCGATGTGACAAAAATTAGATTTGGTAACCGTGAACTCCAGGCATCGAGATTTTTGCTCAAAAATAGCAAAATCGTTATTAAAAAAACAAATTTGTAAAATACTTGCTAGAGCAGATACCGCCTATCAAGTCAATGCCTTCAAAGAAAAACAGTTTTTGGTGCTCTACTGTAAAATTTGAGTGCGGTAAGATAGACAGTTTTTCAATTGATCGATGGGCGGTTTTATAGAGACATTGACGACATATTGGTTCGATTACTTCTCCATAAAACGCAACACCTGTGTCGCTATTCAAAAGCGTTGAAAGTGATGCTGCAATCATATATTCAAAATATAGCCCGGTGACACCTCATGTCACTGCGTTACTTTGGGTAATTAAAATGTGTAACATAGTGAAAAGAGTGATACTGCAAAACGTTCTATGTCATTTATTACCTCTGGTGCTTAATTGATCTGTTAATCTGTATCTGATCGCTTCTGGCAACCGTTCATCTTCATCAGCCAAAGGTAGACAGTTTTGTTATTCGTTTATTAGGGTTTAACGATTAACAGATACATTCCGGTGCACGTAAGAGACATCTAAGTGTCAGGGGTACTAATAGACATCGAAATTTTTGCAGTACCACCGACGATATACATTTGTTCAAATTTTCTAAATCCATTTCCACAATATCACAATTAGTACGCAGTTTTTTTTTAGTAGAGTGGATCTAACAAATCCCCCCAGAAATATGATACATCATGAAAAATTACCACGGACATGAATTTTGTCCATCTAGCTTGTTCCACACGGCATACTCTGCAAAGGCCAGATTACCGTGTCCATATTAAAGGCGATGAGACTTTAAGAGCCAACCCCTTATCTTCAGAACTACAAAGTTCACGAAACGTGTACACAAATTCAGTGCTACTGGGATTCCCCGCAGGGTAGTTAAAAATGGGTATGTGTTACAAAGTAAAATATGTTTTGCATAGATTTATGACAAAATATATAACGGCAAAGAACTGTAAATGCTGCCTACGTACGCTTAAGATATTTTGGCAGAAATAGAATGAGATTCCCCTAAATGGAGTCTTAAAATGGTTAATTAATTTAAAAATGTCACACAGAAGAAAGTGCAGAAACGTGAAGAAACAAAATAAGACCTAAAAGAAATGGAGAAGTTAAATAGCTTTCAGAAGTTGCGAAACGCTATAAAACCAGCAACGGCAAAGAACTATAAAATTAGTTCACGTTTAAAGTTCTTGAAGTATGCAAGCGAATGCGCAACGTTGGAAAATGGTATGTAGTATTTTTTTTTTTCTAAGCTTGCGAACTTTTTAGCATTTATACTAAATACATCAAAATTCTTTTCCGATTTTTCAGTATACCAAATTACTTGTATTCCATGCATTGATTGCATTAACTCTCGCTGATGTAAGTCACATAAGCCGGGAATATTTGCCTCCAGTCGCTGAAAATAAATACCTAACGCATATTCAGCAAACAGAGCCACAACAACAACAAAAGCAATACAAATACCAGCACGTGCAACATGATGCAGTGTTAAGTGACGAAGCTGCCAATGGAAATGCGCTTGCCTCAATAGATGTGCGGGAATCGAATGATGGCACAGACAGCAAATCAGCTAGCGATCCATTCATTCAGCCTGGTTTGGGTAGTTTTCCCAGCGTCGCACCAACGTACCCAGGCCAAGGTTTTGCTTATCCAGGTTATCCAGGACAAGGCTTCTCAGGAGCTGGTTTCCCCGGAGCAGGATTTCTAGGCCAATTTTTCCCCGGATCAGGTTTTCCTTATCCCGGTTATCCAGGACAGTTTCCAGGGCAAGGATTTGCCGGACAAGGCTTCCCTGGAGCTGGTTTCTCCGGAGCAGGCTTTACTGGTCAAGGTTTTCCCGGGCAAGGCCTCCCGGGACAAGGCTTCCCCGGACAAGGTTTTCCCGGGCAAGGTCTCCCGGGACAAGGTTTCTCTGGACAAGGTTTCCCCGGACAAGGTTTCTCTGGACAAGGTTTCCCCGGACAAGGCTTCCCCGGACAAGGCTTCCCGCCGCAAGCTGGCGGATTCTCTGGCGTACCCTATCAAACAGCTAGTCAGCAACAGCCAAGCGGATCGAACGCTCCACCCACATCCGGCTACAACGAACGCGTACAAACGGCACGCATAGCCAGCGATACGATTTATGATGCAAACGGCGGTTATGTCTACGATAAGCCAAAATAATTTTTTGTTTGTTTTACAAGTTTCTTAACTAATAGACACTAAAGCTAGTTTTATGTTTATTTATTTTATGCCTAAATGCAAATTTCTTTTATAGGTAGTTTGCTTTTATTTCATCGCATCCATTAGCATTTCATCTCTTCGCCAACACAATACGAAAATGTAACACTGAAAGTTTATGTAAAGCAATTCGGTTTTGAATTTTTAATTTTGTAGTTAATACGAGTATGTTATCTTGTAGGAGTGTGAATATCACATTAATAAATCATTCAGAAAATAAATAGCCAAATTTATAAAAATACATACATATGTACATCGTGACATTATTTTCTCAAGTCGACGAGGTTTTAATAACATGTTGTTGTTATTGTAAATTTACTTAATTTGTATATTAAAACAATAGCTGTCCCTATAAATATTATGAGAGCATTTGGTGACCTATTTCTCGGCATGTACCAATGCGTTACGGCCTCGTTGACCGTTGAGCGTCATCAAGAGTGTCTTCAGTTTTTTCATCTCCCTTTTGCTTGTCTTCGGAATTTCTCGCACGCATTAACGGCCTCGTTAGACACCTCAGCTGTGACTATTTTTGAAGTGAAACTTCTTTAGCGGCAGTTACTTGGTTGGGAGTAAATTGGCAAATTCAACGGAAATTGCACACGGAAATGTGCTTCTTGAGGTAAAAATAAAAACCAAAACAAAGATGCGTAAAGATAAAGGTAAAAATGAAGACCAAGATAAATAGATTTAAATACTTTACTTACAGAAGGTCAAAAGTGAAGGGGAATATGTAGATGAGGAAATTGATGAACATAAAAGTAAAATCAAAGATAAATATAAAGAAAAAGATGAGGATGAGGATACCGATAAAAGTAAAGATGAAGATAGAGGAAGAAAGATTAAAATAAAGGGAATTATAGAGAAAATGTAATAGATAGATACACAGAGACTCAATCTGGGAACTATTTTGGGATTATAGAGATTTTTGCGGATTCTTGGGATTTATCGATATAATAATCGATACTTTGAACGGAAAAAGATGGTGTGTGTCGATTTGCTTATCTAGTGTCTTCTCCTGTTTTGACGTGCTGTGAAAATCTGGTCAATGGTGGCCTTACCAGGTCTGAAGCCAATCAGGTCCAATCAGCTGGTTCGGGAACGGCTTCAGTCTTTCACACAGCATCGTCGACAGGACCTTGTATGCCATATTAAAAAGGCTTATTCCGCGATGATTGACGCAAACGGCGGGATCTCCCTTCTTGTGGATTGGGCAAAGTACACTGAGATTGCATTCTTCGGGCATGTATTCATCCGACCAAGTTCTGCTTAAAATCTGCTACATACGCCCCACCAACTCTTCGCCACCGGCTTTGAACAGCTCAGCTGGTATACCGTCGGCTCCGAGGGCTTTGTTGTTCTTAAGCCGCTTTATTGCTGTTCTCACCTCGTCTTGGTCCAGTTGAGGGACGTGAACTTCATCCCTATACATTGGTTCGGGTTCTCCTTCATCAAACGCGCCATCTGTTTCGCCATTTAAAAGCAATGAAAAGTATTCCCTCCATATCTCAAGTATACTATGGACATCTGTTACCAGGTTTCCATCTTCATCTTTGCAGGAGCTAGCCCCGGTCTTAAAACCATTTGATTGCTGCCTTATTTTCTGATAAAATTTTCGAGCCGCGTACCTGTCTGCCAGCATCAAAAGCTCTTCGCACTCACGCTTTTCTGCCTCTCTTTTCTTTCTCTTGAAAAGGCGTCTCCCTTCGCTCCTTTTCTCCCGGTAACGCTCAATTGTCGCGCATGTCTCCATTGGCTAAAGGGTAGCTTTGTATGCTGCGTATTTTTCTGCAGCAGTCGCGCGGCACTCTTCGTCGTACCAGTTGTTTCTGCGCGGTTGGTAGTAACCAACAACCTCTTCCGCAGCGGTACGAAGGGATTGGGAGTCCCACTGCTCATTTATGTCCAGGCGATGAGGAGTTGCTTGATTAAGCAGGATTGAGAGTCGGTTGCTAAATTTTTCGGCTGTCCGTTGTGACTGCAGCTTTGCGATGTCGAACTTTCGCCGCGTTGCCTGCCGCACGTTTTTTATTGCATAGAGGCACATGCGGACCTTAGCTGCAATAAGGTAGTGATCCGAGTCGATGTTGGCACCTCAGATAGAGCGCACGTCAAGAACGCTCCAAGCGTATCTTCCATCTATCACAACATGATAAATTTGGTTCTTTGTTCTTTGATCCACTTGGATCAAAACGGTCACACTGATAGTTATACACACATCGACTCCTTTGCCCGAAATTATTGCATGTGCCAGAAACAAGAAAAAATGAATCACAACGTACAGTAAACTTTTGGCGTAACTATACAGAGGTACAATATTTCACCAGTGATTTGTTTTAGGATGTAGAACAAATTTGCATCCAAAAGGCAAATTTCTAAAAAATGTAAAATTTGTTTCTTGTGGTCAAAACTATCGTATGTGGCACACAAAATTAAAAACAAGTAAAGAAGTATAAGTAGCGCGACTGCTAACTACTAAACCACAGCAGCCGCCTGGAAGATTAGATTAGCGTGAATGAAGTGTTCCACACCGGCCCCTGTGAATAAGTGCACCCTAACCGGCGTCATTTTACAGGGAGAAGTCGTTCGGCAGACAAAGAGACTGCCACAAAGCTCTCCTGAGTTGTTCAGAGAGAGATGCTAATAATAACATGAAATTCTCCATAAACTGTATATACATCACTTTTCGATAGGCCTGATAGTTTCTGAAGAATTAATTAGCAAAAAAAAAAGTAGTTATTTTTTATTTTTACCCTGTTAAAGTTTGATTTTTTTTTAATTTTTTCCTCAAAAAAACGAAAAATCTGGAGTTATTAATTAATTTCTTAGTAACCATCAGACCTATTGAAAAGTGGTTATTTTATTGGCTTTCATTTGCCTTCATTCATTTACGATTGTTCAATTGGTTCGTAAGATATATGTACATGATTAAGTGGAACCACTCTATTTTAAAGCTGAATAACGGTAAATTTCAAATACCTCGAAAACGTATCCATAGAAAAAAAAGTAACTCGATTTTCGGAAAAACCAAGCAAATTCTACATGGGAATTGAATGGTGGCGTCTGGAGAACTAAAACAAAACTAAAATTTGTGATGCAGTGTAATCTTCCGAACTCAAACGTGTTTTAGTCCACCAAAACAAAAAAATTGTTCACATCAAACATTTTACCATTCTACGCTACGAATATTGCTGACTGTAGCGTACACAGTGACATGCTATACATTTTATTTTGCAAAACATGCAAATTAACTCCAAATAAATTACAAAAGTATTTCATTGATAAAACGGATTAGAAAAAGGTTTTAATTTTATTCACTATTTGGGAAACAATTTTTGCATCTTTATGAGCACGCAACAGATGCCTTCACACGTGCAATGAATGAAGTGAGCGATGTTTGCAGCTATCATTTGACAGCTGCTAATGCAATAAAATTAATAAGATTTCGTGCACAAGAATATGAGCGTAAAAAGCAGAGAGTCACTTAGCAGCCAAAATTTAGGATTGGCATTTGAAGTATATTTTAAGTTTTTGCATATCTTTACGAGGTGTGTTTTGTGCAGCATACACGTTTGTTAATGTCATGTGTGGATTGATTCGTTTGTCAGCGCAAATTTAATTCAGGTCAATTTTTTTAAATTAACATTTTTGACATTTGAATGCGAAATAAGTTGTCATTTTAATTAGATATGAATTGCATATTTATTGTGCTGGCCTAATAACAGGGCAAAATACACAAAAAATCGATAGATTAAAGGCTGGAGTTGCACCAAGTCACGAATGCATTTAGATATTTAATAACATTTGGAGATGTGTTTTGTTCACTTAAATTTTTTGCTTTCATGCTAATACGCGAAAACTTTATTTGGTTTAATAACTTGATTAGCATACGACCTTAAGCCATTAAGTGGATTTTGAAGTAAATGTTGTCGAAAATATCTTTTCAACTACATGCCTACATACTTTGGATGAAAATATTTCTTACGGTAACGGGTATAACTTTGATAAAAAAAATACTTTTTTTGATTATTTACTGAGTTTTCTTCATAATTTTTTCTTTTTATGTTTTGCTTAGTAAAGAAGAGGTATTTTTTTTTTTAATATTTGTTTAGGGCGCTGTTACGCAGACGATCATATGATCCCTGGTTACGGCACTTTTTCTCTGATTTCTTCCATTCTTACTCTCTTTGACCAACACGCTGTTATGCAGAGGGTCCTACGACCAGCGTATTTCTTTGGTTCAGTTGTATTTCTTTGGTCTATTTTTCTACTACATTTTACATTTGTGTTATGAAATGACGAAAAAAATGGAATATACATGTGTATAAAAACATGTCAAAAGCAATTAAAACAAGGGTTGCTAGCATTAAGTTTATTCTACATATGTAGGTACTACTTTGTATACATCAGCAGCAAAAATTCACCATTCTGCTTCTAAAAGGAAAAAAATAGTATGAAAAATACTCTACTACTAAAAAGAACAAATAGTAAATTGTATTCAAAATCCAACCCTTTTTTGATCAGCGATTCGGTGTCAAGGCTCAGTTATGCATACTTTGCACGGCACTGCAGAGCATGTCATT